TGGTTGGGGGGGGGGGGGGGGTTGTTTTCCCTAGGGTAGAATCGTGACACATGTGAATTCAACTCTCCTTCACCACATGACTCACTCAATTACACACCTCAGCACACACAAACGCTCATACCTCTGGGAGGTCCTCCGATCATCTGCTCCCTCTGTCGAGCGTGCTCCTCCATCCTCATCCTTTCTTCCTCCAGAGCTCTCCGGGCCTGTTCTTCCTCCAGTAAAATCAGCTCATTCACCTCAAAGTACCATCCTGCATGAAAGCACCCATAAATTATTCACCGAACTGTTGTGTGTCAGCTCTTAATACACATTAAATAAACAAGCACGAGTGAGGAGGGGGGAATATTAATGCACATTGCACATCTGGCTCTGTTACGATTATATCCAGGGTTTGAAGCCACATATAAAGCCTTTCAAGCCTTTTCATGGGAAGTCCATGTTTATTTTCAGCAACATCCCAGAATGCTGCTGGCAGAGACCGGTGTTAAATGCACCCGACTGCAGTTCTGACCACAAACATTTGTGGTATTGCGAACAAAAGGAAACTCTGAACAATAAAACGACGGCAGTTCCTTCCTCAAACATAAGCACCACAGGATACGGGTGAAATAATCTGTGCCGTCTTTTATTTGTGTCGCTGGCTTCAATATTAATATAAATTCATGAAAAAACAAAACAAACGTGTTTCATTTCCAGCATTTGAGATGTTTCCCTACTGTTTTTAATTAAAACTAGAATTAAAACGCTTCTCATCTCATGAACTCTACATGGTCTTTACTTTAATAAATCCAGCCAAACCTTGGTTGTCAGTGATCATTTCCTCCACTTTTTCCATCAGCTCGGGTACTTGTGTGTTTTCTTCTGTTTCTTTTCGAGTGTTATCAAAGGCGTGGTACCTGCAGGGGGGAAACCAGCTTTAAAAGGAGCATGACATTCAATTTATTTAGAACTACATAACAACTGCAGCATACAGTTTCCTTTTGCCCTGAAAGAAACTTTCCACAGTTTTCAAAAATGTCAGAATTGTTGTCTTACTGACAGCGTTGCTGTTGGTTGGTGACAAAACTGAACTGAAAATCAGGAACCTTTAGATCTTGAACCTTACATTCACTATAAGCTAAGCAGTCTCTGGTGCTGCCAGTTTGATGTTTAACACCAACTAAGCAATCCAGTGTGAACAGATGCAGACGTTTTAGCATGGCACTCTTCTATGTGGAGAGTTAAAAATCCACCATGAAGTAGTGACTAATCCACCCTGAAGCTTCATACACTCAGTTTTATTGTTATTGAAGCTTGCAGCCAAAGTTGACTGAAATGATACTGCTGGAGATGTTATCAGATTTGCACAACTGTTTTTTCCATAGGCAGCATGTTCAGCGTAAATCAGGTTTGAAGCACAACATCTGCAGCCGTTTCCCTTTAGGTTATCTATCAAACTCCTGCTGCATAGTCTAAACATTGAGTATCTTTTGAGAAACCAGAGGAGACATTGGGAAAAACGGGAAGATAGCAAACTGACGTTATACCTGCTTCCACATCTCTCCACCAGCCATTGCAGGGCTTCTCCAGTGTTTGCTATGTGCTCCTCAATAAAAAACCCCTTGGGCAGCTTGTCTATCCCGGTGAACAGGACCATGGAGTACCTCCAGGTCCCTCCCCCGAGGGCGCCGAGCTGCTCCTCCGCAGCCCTCCGCTCAGTTTCGGTGAAGGGCTGGGTGACCGTCACCACCAGAAGGATAGCGTGCGGTCCCGGAGGGCAGAGAATGGCCCCCATGCACGGGCCCTCGCTGTCCAGGCTCGGCGGCGGTCGGCGTGGGCTGTCTGACTCGGCCCCCGCGTTGTCGTTGTTGTCAGCTTCGGCGTCGTCGGCTGGGTCGGCCGGGATGGCCCACGGCGGGGTGTCGACCACGGTGACACGGCGGCCGTAGATCTCAGTGTGGCCCACGTTGCTGTGTGTAGTCTCCGTCCCACCATCAAAGACTTCATCTCCCAGGATGGTGTTGGCAGTGGAGGTCTTACCGGACCGTGGACCCCCGAGGAGCAGCAATCTGCGCTCTGGGGGATGGCGGGCCCGGGGGTCTCCTGTTGTAACACAGTGACATCAGAACGCTGCTTCTCTACTGAATTTGAGTACTCAAAGCGCTTTCTTACAACCCACTCACACACACACACAAGTGCTTTTTTTATAATTGGACATTCTCACACTCTCTCACACACACACACACACACACACACACACACACACACACAGGTCGTTTCATATGTAAAAGTGAATTTTGCCAAACTGCTTAAAATACTTTTGTAAATTACCTTTTTTTTCTTAAAGAAATCTACCAGATCATGTGTAATTTTCATTGCAATATTAATCGCATTTAAATTAAAAGGGGATGGCAGTGAAACTTCTGGCGCTGTGATGTCTCTCTCGCGTTCTCGGGAAGTCCGAACTCCCGTGTGAACTTACGAAATACAGACTATCAAGTAAGGACGAGCGTACTCGATTATTGAGAAACAGCCATAATCTGATGGATGCATCAGAGGCAACTCGGGGTTCAGCATCTTGTCCAAAGGTGAAGGAGCCAGGGATCAAACCTAGGTAGAGGTATATACTTTTAACATTCTGTCTGAATAGATTTTGGATCTTAATTTGTTTAAACCCACTATTGAGTCTTCCTACTGTGTTTTGGAGATTGCTGCACCTCTGCATCCTTCACACTGCAATGCAATTCTACATTCCCCCCTTCTTTCCTGGCCTCCCTCCTTCCATTCCCTCTCTGCTCTCATCTTATCTGAGAAGCTTGCTACCTTATATCTCATCTCTTTCCCTGGCTCCTCGTTCATTCGCATCTCTGTCCCGCTTTGGCTGATCTCCCAGCATCCCTCATCTTTTTATCTGTCCTCAGATTTCAGAAAAACAGAGGCAGACACACCACTCTGTCATGTGAACAAAAACATGACGCACTCTGAGTTTTGATTCTTCTTTTTTTCAAAGGCATCAGAGAAGTATTTGAATATCCAGAAGATGCTCAGAGGAGTGATGCGTGCTCCATGAGGAGGAGGAGGTGGAGGAGAGTATGAGATGCAGTGAGAAGTTTATTGATTAATGATGCTCACTGACTTTCCATGTATGCCACCAATCACAGAAGTTGACACGAGCAACAGTTTCCACCTCCAGCCGACGTTTGAGAAAGGATGCTGCTGTTAAAGTAAAGGTGATGATGTCGAGCTCGCTGTGAGGTGTCTGGCAAAATATTAAAAAGCCACTTACCGGTGTCAGAGGCAGAGGACACAGCAGCCATCTTGTGTGTAGAACCTCTGGCTTCCTCCTCCTCAGCCCCCCTCCTCCGTCTCCGTCTCACCTCCACGGTGCCTTCCTTTTTCGTGCCTCTTCAGAAAGCCACGGATGCGGAGCTCAAATGCTTCCCTGCTCTTGCTTTCACTCTAACCCTCATTCTGCTGCAGTGTAGTCACTCTATCTTCAGTTTCCTGCCCCTGCCTCTCATCATTTCCTCATACTTAAACCTCTCCCTTCCTTCTTTTTTGTAATCTGTTTTCTTTCACACCCCCTTCACCTCACCGTGGCTCTTCCTAGTCTTTTTCTTTATGGATACATACATATATATATCCCCTCCGCTCCCAGTCCTCCTCCCCTTCCAGTACTCCTTTCTTTTGTCTTCTTTATCTGTCCGAGCTGAGGGAAAAGATTGTGCAATGCAGGAGACTGGAAGCCAAATCCACCCCTTCAGCAGCTGCTCCAATAAGATGTCTGTTCATTTTTTTGAGAGAAAACAGAGGAAGCTGTGCCTCCCACTCGCTTGTATCAGACGGCGGCAGCAGCAGCAGCAGCAGCAGTGTGGCACTGTATGCAGACTGCAGTCAGGTGGACAGACGGAAAGATGGATAGACAGAGAGAGAGAGTCAGTACTTTGTGCTGGGCTTACAGCTGGATGTGCTCCCCAGATGTTGCATCATGCATGAACACAGCTATTCATAATATATATGACGCCTCTAGACATGAGAGTATTGTGCGAGGCAGGAAGGGGGATTTATGCTGCATGAATACATTTAAATGTGATACAAGAAACGGCTTACATAATAAGTAAGAGCTTCTATAAATAGCAGATGACTGTAAGACGCTGTCCGATCGCTTTGGAGTCAAATCTTCGCCTCCTTAGAGTGGATACTGCCTGAAGAATACGACACGTTTAGCAGAAAAGTCATCCTGAATGTCTGAGCTCATCCTTGGCTCCTTACCAGTTGAATTATGTCCGCTATATGGGGAGGTACGTTCAGGGAACCTAGGGAAATCACGGAAGTCAGAAGGTTAAAAAAGAAGAAGCAACATTTGCTGTGTAGATTTTAAAGACGTGGGTGACAGTGCTAATATGACTCCAAACTCTTCGCTGACGTACTCGTGTTTATTGCAGCGATCATAACACGTTTTAAACGTTTTGTTGACGTATTTTCATGTATCGAGGCAAAGTTAGCGCTTCGACGTCCCAGCGTTTTTGAAGTCTGTACAGTCACGTCACACATTAATTAAAAAAGGACACCTTCCACTTGACCACGTGATCCTACCAGAAGTCGGCTATTTAAAGGATGGTGATGTTCAAAGCATGAGATTAAAAGTGAACAGAGGACATTCAGACCCTGTTTTTTTTTAAACAAACAAACAAAAAACAATTATTATAATGTGGAGAGAAGGATTTCTCTCCATATCTGTAATCTGGGTCGAAGTAGGCCATAGATGGATGAAGGGGACTGACCTGTCTGGAGCAATAAACACTATAAGGTGAGCTCGTATTTAAGGAAATAAGAAAATGGGTTGGGATTTTCAATTTTTACAGATGGTGAAGTAATTTACTAAGAAATTTAGAGTTTGCTTACTGAAACTGTTGTCACGGTCCGGGTGCGCTGCTGGTAAATTACCACTGAGTTCTATATTCTTCGATGTCCGCCTCTGGGCGGAGCTGTGACCTCCTCACCTGTCCAACTCACCTGGAGCTAATCTGGGGCAATCTACTGAGGGTATTCAAGACCAGTTTTGCTGTCTCTTCGTCAGCTTACCCGGGTAGGTAACAGGCTCTCACGACTCATGTGCGCCCAAATCTATGTACTTACCTTTTCTTCCTTGTGCTACAGCTCTCTGGTTCCGCCACTCGGACACCGGATCACACTCACTGGATTAGTCGCCCAGCTTCACGCTCCCTCTCCCGGCAAAGATTTTCAATAGCGATGGCCAAATGAAGCTATCTGAAGCATTAGAACTTATGTTGAAAACCTGTTCATTACTTGAAGCTTTTCACACACAGTCGTGTTTGGTGACATCTGTTGGCCAAAAATATGAAGAGCCGCTGGAATCTACAGCAATAATGAACTGCTTTCTTATTGATTGCCTACATTACAGAGCTGACAGCTTCTATTTGATATCATGCGATATCCAAATTATGTTATGTCTATTCTAATAATAACTAATTTTGTATAATATGCTATAACTTCTATAATTATAACTATATGTATCGTCAGTAGCGGTTTTTGATACGGGCGACACGGGCGGTTGCCCGGGGCGGCATCATGGTGGGGGCGGCATCATGGTGGGGGGCGGCATCACGGGCATCGACAAAAAAAAAAAAAAAAAAAAAAAGATTACCCGTACTCATGCTGCCCCGATATCATGCCAGCGCATATCGGGAATGTCGAAGACACCGATTGGGTTTCCATCAACCATTTGCTGGGAGTAAGCGCCTGCTGCTTGCTGCACAGGGAGGAGAAGGCGGGGCGGCGGGGGATTCTCTGGCTGGCTGGAGCAGCATCTAATAACCAACTCGCAAAATAAAACAAAATAAAAACAAACCAACAAACATGAAAACACCAGACATTATGATGCAGGCTTATAATTTGCACCGATGTTTTTGGGTTTTTTTTCAAAATTCTATACGCAAAAAGTGAGCGCGGTGCGCCTGCTCGCTGCTGAAGTCAAAGTAAACTTTGTTATCTCTGCTCAACCCGTTCGCTCTGCAACTGCTACATACAGTTCAGTATATGGAGAGACGAGACGACGTGGCTCCAGTTACAGCAGTGCAAGTAAACAAACAATAAATATGAGAAGAGTAAGAAAATAAATATACACTTTAGGACCAGGGGTAAAGGGATCAATAACAATTTAAAATTTATAATTTACAGTTTGATGATTTAAAGCAAGGGCGTAGATTTGGCATGGACGGAAGGGACATGTCCCCACCAATAATTTGATCTCTTCGAGTAAAGAAAAACAAACCGGATAAAAAGAAAAAAAAAACGATCTGTCAACGTTTCATTCACCCAGCGGTGCAGAAAGACTTAAATTACGATCTCTACTGGAGTCCTACCTCATGTGACAAATATGGCCAATGTGATTGGCTGTGCCTTTCAGGGAGCTCTGTTTAGTTTTAGCAGCTGCAAGCCTGCGCTGCGAGGACCTGCAAGGAGGAGAGGAGGATGACAGCAAAAACGAAGAACCTGGATATAAGAAAGTATTTTTCAAAGAAACCTGTAAGTCACTTAAAGTCAAGTTCACTCATAAAATGTGTCCGTCATAATAACGTTACAGGCTATGCTAGGCTTTGGCCCACATCAGTCTAAAATTGTATGTAACAATGAATAACGTGTTTTGGAAACTAACTGCACAACAGTTAGTTTCCAATCCAAGCTCATAAATCCAAGTTCTCTCAGTCTCCCAGAGTAGCATTTCTAATTTTGATTGAAACTGTCAGAGAAAACGGCAGCCTCGAGCAAGCCAGGATATTAGTTTACAGAGGCTGTTAAAATTATATGCCTAACGTTAAAATGTAAAATGCTTAAAGGTAAAATGCTGTATGCCATGTCCACCACGAGAGACTGGACAGTATAGATGTAAAACCAATATGCCAGCAGTTTATCTCAGTTAACGAGAGGAGAAGGCATGTGTTTGGCTCCTTCACATAGTGGACATTGAGTTGTGTGGGGCACCAGTAATCCATGGCTGTTGCTGTAACAGTAGTTCATGTTTAGAATGAAAAATCCCAGCTCACTGATTTGATCGGGGCAATAGTGCCTAAAATGTTGCATAATTTTGCTGCGAGATCTTTTACTTTGTGGTAATCTTAGAGTAGTTTTATAGACAAAAACCACCAGGTCATTCACTGTTCCCTTAGTGCTAATGTATCAGAGATGTTTGTGTACTATAACTGAAGTAATGTTGTTAAAGTCATATTCTTTTATTGTCATGACTGTATTTGAAGCTATTTTTATATGATACCTGATTTATATGGAATATGGCTGAAGTAAACTAAAGTCTAAAATTCTTAGTCATTTGTTTAATAGTAATTTAACATTATATAATTCACACAAAACTATGAATTGTAATTTTAAATGGTTTAAAAGCATGTAGACTAGCATATGTAGGCAAGTATATTTCTCCTTTTTTTAAAAATCAAGAAGCAAAGACAAAAAGGAAAAAAACAAAAACAAAAAAAACAGGGCAGGGTTTGGTGGTTGAATCATCCGTCCCTACCAATGCCAAAACCAAATCTACGCCCTCGATTTAAAGTCTCACACACAACCCGTCGAAAGGGGAGGGGGGCCTGCTTCTTCCAAATAGAGCACATTTCATTCATAATGTTGTAAATCCAAGCCCATTATGGATTCGTGATTTGAACCCTGGGTTGTGCGAAATCCCAGAAATAAACCCTAGACAAAGCAAATCTGTGAACTAAGGTCTAGGTCTGTTAGGTTATGTTGTGGTGATCCTCGGGTTAGGGGATGGGTGTTCATACTGGAGTGCAAAATTAAAACCAATGGAAGATGGACAAGAAAAGTTCTGAAGTAAAGTCTGCAACCTTTATAGAGCCCTATCAAGTCTCTTGGTCTTAACATACTGTTAGTATACAATAAAAAGAAATTGTGTATAAGTCAGAAAACATTTGGCAGTTCCAGAGTTGCATTTTATTAAAATAATAACAGAAAAAAAAAATTAAGGAACCCTGTATATAGCCTATACAACAAACAAAAATATAATGAAAAATCAAAAAATAAAATATATGAAATTTTTGTGAGTGATTTAATATTAGATAAATGCAGCTGATAATCACAGATTTTTCACGAGTCTTATATGCTTGGGACAGCGCAACTACTTGCTGCCTTTCCTCTTCCTCCCATACACTGCGGACCTCACGTAGACAGCACATAATGATCAAAACTGGAGAAAAGGCAAGCAGACAGGCGTCTGGGCCAGCTCTGTCCTCGATTGTCTGCCCCACACAAAAAATTTGGTCTCCAATTTAGTGAGCCTGACCTCCAGAGCTGCAAATATGCAACATGCCTTACAAGTGTTATTACCTAACAAGGCAGAGAAGTAGCAAAAGATCTGACACACTGATCACTGAGGAAAATACAGGAGCAACAAGTGAAGAAGCCACTGGCTCAACAACATAACAAGCTAGCAAATTCAAAAGGACAAAGTGAATGAATACCGTGAATATAATTGCCAGGTGATTCAACGAATTTGACTTTTTGCTGGCAATGTGGACCAAGCTCTCATAACGTGCCAGAATATCTTTTGGAGCGACCTCAGAGCTGTGGCATCACTCGGCATCATTTCATGGACTCTCCATAAACAGCTGTGAGAGCTTGTCAGCTTGGTGCTGAGGCCACAAAGAAGAAGCAGAGCCGTTTCACATAGAGAAGTCTACGAGATCAAAGGCTGACTTGTTGGCAAAAAACTGGATTTAAATGACATGAAATAACACTGAGGTGTTATTTTCGCAGTCTAGTAGGGGCCGGTAATACAACTGAGGCTGTTTGCTATCAGCTTAGCAATGCAAGTCACTGTGTGACTTTTACCCAAACATCCTTTTCATCAACAGAAGAGCCAATACTGCAAATATGTGTATTTATAATAAAACATGTATTTATATAAAACGTATTTGCATTTGTAACTGTTGATAAGTATCTTAAAAGTAAAGAACTGTATTATCAAGAGTCAAAAAGCTCCACATAAAAAGTTGTAAGCAGCTTATAAGTAAACTCTGAAAATGAAACCCTGCAGGAAATGGTTCAGAATTCATTCTGTAACTACAAGCACTTTTGTTTTGCCAGCTCTAAACTTTACGAGTTGCTTGTAGGAACTCTTCCTGTTTGTCATCATGTCTCTGTGTTCAATGTTCTCCTCCTCAGGCTCTGGGTCTGCCCATCACTGATGCTCAGATTGCAGAGATGGAGAGCCATGCAGAGGACATTGACTTTGCCGTGGCGGCTGAAGAAGAGCGAAAGCTGAGGCACGATGTCATGGCGCACGTCCACACCTTTGCACACTGCTGCCCCACAGCTGCTCCCATCATCCACCTCGGAGCTACGTCATGCTATGTGGGAGACAATACTGTAAGTAGGACTATTGCATAAATAAACCCAGCAGTGATGAGTTTTGACTCTTTAAAGCTTCTCATGTTTGTCATTTCTGTTCTTCAGGATCTCATTGCCTTGCGTGATGGCTTCAACATCCTCTTGCCTAAGGTGAGACTCACCTGTTTGTCCAGAAATTCTATGAAAACAGTGCAAATGAATATATTAATATCAAACAAGCTTGTCAGCTAGTTTGTTTTTACAGTGAGTCCATTAATATTAAAAAAAAAAACAAAAAAAAAAAAACAGGACATTTTCAATGAATTCATGAAAAATTATATTTAAAGATTACAGGACAGGCATTGCAACATATTGGTTACATTTATTATGCATCTTCACTGCTTCTGGGAGCTAAAGATCAAAGCTGGCTGTTTGTAGCCCACGATGTAAAATAAGTTTGACACCCTGATTTGCATCATTAAAGGCTTGTTTTTCCCTGCAGCTGGCCAGAGTCATCGACCGGCTGGCAAACTTTGCAGAGGAATACGCCGACCTCCCCACGCTCGGCTTTACACACTTCCAGTGAGTCCGACTGCAGCTGCAGTGTTTTCATAGGCCTTCATCAGACTGATGGAGCTGTCTAACTTTGATGTCAAAGGTGCACAAGGTGAGGAAATGTCTACATTTAGTGGTGGTTAAAGAAACTTGGGTCTTGAGCTCAGGATTTTCAAAAAGCTGATGTAACTGAGTCTAAACTTTATACTGTCGTCTGCTGTAGATCTGCACAGACATCCGTCTGCTGGCCAACCTAAAAGAGATCGAGGAACCTTTTAAGGAGCAGATTGGTACGTTCGCTCATTCAAAAGCACTTTTTGCCTGTTAGACTGTGCCTCAGCCTAAAGCTTTGCCCGCTCCTCTTCCAGGTTCCAGTGCTATGCCCTACAAGAGGAACCCCATGCGTGCAGAACGCTGCTGTAGCTTGGCCCGACATCTGATTGCGTTGATGGCCGACCCCCTGCAGACTGCCTCAGTGCAGTGGCTGGAGAGGACACTGGATGATAGCGCCAACAGGTCAGCCAACACAGACACACTTACACTGCTGTGAATTTGGTATGATGCAGTTCTCCTCTGTGAAGTAGATATCACATCAGTGTGGAAGCGTACAATAAATAGTAGTGAACAATGATTCTCAGTTACGAGTGTTGCTTCTGCATCATCAAGGTCTTCTTGTTAAAAAAAAATTGAAGACTTGAGAGGAACAAAGAATCCTATAACTGAGAGAACAAAAGCTTAACATTTTCCAATTGTATGGTAGTATGGAAGCAGTCAATTTGTTAGTTAAACATAACGTAAAAATAGCTGAAATATTAAAAAAAGTTGAATAGTTCAATAGTTAAAAAAACAAAACAAAAGATAAACCAAGGTGAAACAGTTGTGTGTTCACTGCTAAATTAGTGCTAATATGATTTCCTTGCTCGCTAGTCTCAGTAACCGTGAATCGGTCCGCCGGGGTTTCCGCCCTTGGCCACTGCCCGGAAAACACTGCACCTGAGTCCTAAGGTGCCTCCTGCAGGTGGTGGACCTACAGAAGAGTGGGTCCATTTTTCCTCTTCGGGGTGTGCCCAGCCGGGCCCCATGGGCCAAAGCCCGGTCATGAGACACTTGCCCTCTGGCACCCTCCCCAGGACTGACTCCCAGGTTGGGGCTCCGGTAACCCTCTCCTGGGCAGGGTGAACTCTTCCCTATATTTTTCCACTCATTGCCGTCAGCCGGACAAGGGTGGAGTGCCAGGGTCAGGGATGAGTTACTGCCCAAAGTGGAGGAGTTTAAGTATCTTGGGGTCTTGTTCACTAGTGACGGGAGAGGGGAGCAGGAGATTGACAAACGGATTGGTGCTGCAGTGATGTGGGAGCTGTAGCGGTCACATTACCAGCTACCATTTCTAAGGGTGGTTGGTCTCTCCCTTAGAGATAGGGTGAGTAGTGCGGCCATCCAGGAGGGGCTCAGAGAAGAGCCGCTGCTCCTCCACATTGAAAGGAGCCAGTTGAGGTGGTTCGGGCATCTGACTAGGATGCCTCCTGGGCGAGGTGTTCTGGGCATCTCCCACCATGAGGACGCCCTGGGGCAGACCCAGGACACACTGGAGAAATTATATCTCTGAGCTGCCTAAGAATAAGCTGGAGGAGGTAGCTGTGGAGAGGGAGGTCTGTGTTTCTCTGCTTAGGCTTCTACCCCCATGACCCGGCCCCGGATAAGTGGAAGAAGATTGATGGATGATTTTCCTGTTAGAAGAAGAAGTAGCTTAATTTAACAGGCCTATGGTTTTTGCCCACAGTAGCTTTTATGGAGTGCCACCGTGACTGCCCACTTTTATAGGGACTCTGGTTTTAAAAGTTAACATGGAAATCACATATTGAACATGTTAAAAAAAAGTTGGCTAAAAGTATTTATATCCTGGGTAATGTTAGATATATATTAGATTACAAGACAATGAGAATATTATATTTTTCATTGTTTCTACCCTATCTGAGCTATTGTGTTGAAGTATGGGGGAATACATACATGACTAATATGAAAGCATTATACTTATTACAGAAGAGAGCACTTCGAATTATGCATAATGTTAAATATAGAGAACACTAATAATTTGTTTATAAAATCGAAATTGTTAAAACTAGAAGACATAGTGAAATTACAGACTTTAACTATTATGTTTAGGGCAAAAAATAAACACTACCTCTTAAGTTAAAGTTTATTTGTATTGTGTTCAGAAAATGGGGACGGCAGAAGGAAGTTTTATTTTAAGCACCGGTTTGCTTGAACCACACAAAGGCAAATGTGTCCAACAGTCATAGGAATTCTCTCAGTGATCATCTTAAGTGTTGTATAAATGTTTCTCAATTTAAAATCTGCTATAAGAATAAAATGATAAACCAATATGAAGAAGTTGAAAAGAATAGAATTTAATTGTAGAAAAATGATCCTTTTAGTTTGATATTTAGTGGTATTGCTCATTGTTGAGTATATTGTTCTGTTTGCTTTGTTTTGTTATGTGCAGAAAATTGTCATAGTGTAATTTTGGTTGCCTACTTGTATTATCACAGATAGGGGGCAGGTATCAATAAGAATTTATTCTTCTTCCTGCTCCTTTTCATGCATGGAAACAGTGTTACTTTAATTGAAAGGAAGGTTGTGTATGGGAATGCATTACTGCTGTACCATGTGTGAAACAAAAAAATAAAGTGGATTTCTCCTTCATATTTTCCACTGACACTTCAGGAAATCTTCCAGAGTTTTAGGCTTTGAACCAAGCCAAATAGCTAAGACATAAATCATGGCCATAAAGCAACAAAAGAGAAAACCTAAAGGGAAAAACGAAAATAAATCAACAGTAAAAGACTATGGCTGTATCCCAATTCAGGGTCTGCAGCCTTAAAGTACGTATTTCAAGGCTGATTACGTCACAGCGGCGCGCCGAAGGCTGTCCCAATTAAAAGGCTGCTCGAAATGCGGCCCTGAAATGAGTCCTTCATTTCCCTGAATTTTAAGGCTGTGGCAGTGTAGACTTCGTGGCCCAACATATCCCAGAATGCATAGCACGGCGATGGGTGTGGATAAATTTGCAGAAAAAAAAAAACAAAAAACAAACTGCGGATGAGGGGCGGCCAAAGAGTACACTTTAAGTACTGAATATTATATACCTTATGTGCAAATGTTTAATAACGAAGAACATTAAACATTACTGTTGGCCACATGTCAGCAAAGTTATGTGACATTAGTGACGTTTGTACCAACTTGGTTTTAAAGCCTTTAAAATATACGCCGTTCAATAGCTGAGCTTAATCTTACAGAGAATGATCAAAGCTCATGTAGAAACAAATAAACAAATGAACAAAAGATTCTCCTTCATTTCTGTCAAACAAAGCTATGACACGTTTCCAGTGGTTCGTATCATGGTTGCTAGGCAACCTGAGCAGCGCAACAGAGGCTCTTTTTTTTTTTTTTTTTTTTTTTTACACTTTATTGACAAACAACAGTATCAGCGCAAAGGAGGCTAGACTGTCCCATTACACAAGCCTCGCACTTCCGGCCTTAGCGGTCTTTGAGTACGCGGCCCTTGAGGATGGTTGAGGCTGCGTACTTTAAGGCTGCAGACCCTGAATTGGGATACAGCCCATGTACATAATTGCGTTAATGGTTAAAGAACTACACATCCTACAATGCATTGCACATTGTTACCCAGGATTCAGTGGTTGAGTAAAAAGCTGTTATTGTGATTACTGATGGTTTCTTTCCTCTCTTCTCTGCCTTGCTCCTGTGAAGGAGGATCTCCCTGCCCGAGTCCTTCCTGACAGCAGACATTGTCCTCAGCACGCTGCAGAACATCACAGAGGGTCTTGTGGTCTACCCCAAAGTCATTGAGAGAGACATCCACAATGAGCTGCCCTTCATGGCCACAGAGAACATTATTATGGCGATAGTGAAGGCAGGAGGCAACAGACAGGTAGGAGAGAATACCCTGTGAGTCAGAATGGACACAATAATTTGAACATAACTGGATGAATGCATTTTTGCTTAATCAGGAGAGATGGTTTACTGGGCAGAAAATGCCAGTGGTAACCAGAAATTCAGATGACTGAAATGAGATCATCTTACTGACTAGTAACCAGTGTTTTGACCATTTAAATGAAGAAGCTGATTACCAATAACCAGACCTGACATGGAGACCCAACAACATGGCTGTTAAAGTGGCGGAGTTGAGAGCTCTGCCCACCCGGGGTAAGTCTTCGACTTATCCCCTTTTATTGAATAAAAACTGCCGGAAGAATAGTGACTGCCGCTCCTCCCTTTCTCTAGCATATCAAGACGCGAATGCGGAAAGGAAGGAGAGGACTCCGCTGGGTTTCCCTTTTACTTCGCTGGATTTCTTAACTCCCTGGGACTTTTATGCTGTGGTGGATCCCACTGGACTTTTAATGTTGTGTTTTATTGATTTTTATTGTGTTATCCCTTGGCCAAGGTTGTTTTAATTTATCTTACACTTTTAACTATTTAAATATAATAAATTATATTTTAATTCTACACTTTTTTAATCGTGTGCTTTCCCTTGGCGGCTCCACTGCTCTGTCCGTTTGGAGGAAGGTTTCCTTCCTTTAGAAAAACGACACTGTGGGAATAAAATCAGCCTTTCCGCTGCCCTTCATGGCCACAGAGAACATTATTATGGCGATAGTGAAGGCAGGAGGCAACAGACAGGTAGGAGAGAATACCCTGTGAGTCAGAATGGACACAATAATTTGAACATAACTGGATGAATGCATTTTTGCTTAATCAGGAGAGATGGTTTACTGGGCAGAAGATGCCAGTGGTAACCAGAAAAACAGATGACTGAAATGAGATCATCTTACTGACTAGTAACCAGTGTTTTGACCATTTAAATGAAGAAGCTGATTACCAATAACCAGACCTGACATGGAGACCCAACAACATGGCTGTTAAAGTCAGCTCCACCTTAATGTTTCTGTTTTTTCCTGTGTCTCTGTTAGGTTTTGTATTGTTCATTGTCATTTATGCTTAGAAATATTTAACCATATATGCTTAAAGGTATATAATCAATTGTGTAGTGATAGGACTGATCTTTAGCAGGCTGTAAAGGCTTGGTGTGTATTCCACACTAGAATGCACACCCACAGTCTAGGAACATCAGAGAGGTCCTATCTTCTTTGTTGATATATGGTATAGCAAACACACGTATATCTCTTTAAGTATAAGAGCCTTTTGTTTAGATAGATCTGCTAGACGCCTGGCACCAGCTTTGGGGAGTCTTCACAGGGTCACATCTTGACCTCACACAAATCACACACACAGGCAAAGTACTCTTTGCCTGTGTTAATGAACCTATGCATATTCATGTAACCTCAATAAAAGGGCAGTGTTACGGGAGAACGGACGAGAGCAACTGGGGTCAAGCGAAGGAACGGCGCCTGTCCGGTCTCTCCCGTGCACGAGAAACATGAAGAACTTTGCCTACCCGTGTCTTGCTTTGCTGTGTAATTATATTGTCTTCAACGTTCCAGCGGATAGGTTCAAGCTACAAACCTATCAGTCTCCTTCAGGAGTGCCATGAGAAAATCTGTGTTCTCTCCCAAGAGTCAGCAGCTGTGGTTAAACAGGAAGGTGGAGACAATGACCTGCTGGCCAGAATCCAGCGAGACCCCTACTTTGCACCCATTCTAGGGCAGCTGGATGCTTTGCTGGACCCCAAGACCTTTATTGGGCGTGCTCCACAACAGGTACAGCATGTTCAGTCTGACCACAGATGAATGTTTTCATCTAAGCCACAGCTCCCCTATTACTGCAACGGTGACGACTGTTAAGAAACTAATGGTGTAAAATGTATTTTCTTCTTCCTGCTCCTCTCCTCCAGGTGTCAAAATTCCTGGCTGAAGAAGTACGCCCCCTACTGGAGCCATTACAGCGCTGAATTGACAGCCTCTGTGTAACATGAGGCTGATATGGTGCTTTGAACATATATGCTTTTGGCTGGGTGAAAAAAAAATAAAAATAAATTATGCTATGTCTATTGTAAAGTCAGTCCCTTCATTCACATCATTATATTGGTTTGCAATTATCTTAGTAATATAATTCATGAATGTCTTCACTTAAACCTAACACTGATGTTATGAAGCGTGCACATAACAGCATTGTGTGGTTTTTCAAAAATTGTTTCTTTAATATTAATTATGTTTCTCTTACTTTGAGTTACCTGGTTTGGGGAGGTGGCTGTTTTCTGTCTGGGCAAAAGGTGTTGCCAAGGGCTGAGGACTTTGTAAACACCTGTTCAGCAGGACCAACCAAGTGCTTGTGAGAAACGGGGGTGTTTTGTGTTTACTTACGTTATTCTGTGCTTAGTTAGTATTGGTGTTTGTTTATGTTTCTCCCTATTGTGTGTAAATGGTTTGGCCAAACCACTATAAAAGCTACCCTCCTGCGTCTTTGTGTTTAGGTCCGTTTGTGACTGAAGTTGTGTGATTACGTTTCTGTAAATTACTTTTTGTAGAGTTACATTTAGTTAACCTCTTTTATGGGCCAGGGGTCTGTTCTTCATACCTCACTTACTACATCCAAGATCAAATCATCGCGCCAACTTTGAGCTTGCTATTCCGGTTCTCCGAACACACCTGTTGTTGACGATTAGTATAGCTGGATGAAGTAATGTGAGATCACTGGGTGGCTTAAAAGTGGCTACGCATCGATAGTAGAAACATTGATCGGCAACCCTTTGATTGGTCGGCAAAAATGTCGAAGGAGCGCGCTCAGTATTTTTCGGCAGCAGAGCAAGAACTCTTGATTGAGGGATTTCAGGAGTTTCAGAGTTCAATTAAAACGCAAGGGAACACTGCAAAGGCTGCAAAAGCAAGGAGAGAGGGCTGGCAGAAAGTTGCTGACAAATTAAACTCTTAAGTAATTTATTATATTACATTATGTCATATTATATTACATTATATCCTCTTTCACATTAGAGCCACAACAGGACCCACTAGAACATGGGAACAAGTAAAAGTGAAATATAAGAATATTCTACAGAATGGTAATATTTATCACTTATATTGCTTTTAGTCTCTTGAAAAGAGACCCTGAAATAATCTGTTTGTTTATAACAGCAACCAAGAAAAGGGCAGAGCAAAAAAAGACAGGTGGTGGTCCTGCACCCCCTCGTCAACAAGTTGGTTAAGTAAATAATACCTTCACGGGAATATCGATATCTCTCTATGAGCACACTGTCGCGCTGAGCTAAAGGATCCTGTCTGTCCCGCAATGTACGCTGAATTCTGAAAACTCTCCTTATCAATCTTGCACCTTCCGCAATGGGTGGCTCGCGTAAACGGACAGGACATGGCTGCGACAGGCTTCCCAAATCCACCTTCGCTTTTATAGCCGTGGTCTCTCATCTTGATTACACGAAGTAATTTACTATTACTACTCTAAAATATGAATTACATCTGAAATAATCAAATACATGTACTATTAATCATTCTATTACATTTCCCTTTTTTTAGGAAATGACCTGTATGTATCTGTATGAAATCAATAAAAGAATCAAATACTGCATTATCTTTAGTTACATTGATAATATTTATTTATGGAAAAACAGTGGAAAAATATCGCTGTTGCTTTCGTATAAATGAAGCGGACATACCCGAGTGGCCGCGATCTAATCCCGTTTACATAAAGTAAACCTGCTCCCGAGCAAGTTTACGCTTACGGCTTTGTTGCTATGGCAGCAAGTCTTGGATCGCTTCGGGGAACCGAACGGTCCAAGATCACGCGAAATCGTCAACAATCAGATCCAGCTAACTTACTTAGCGAGGTACGAAGAACGCACCCCTGCTAATTATATTTTAAACTTCGTCTTTTTAAACTTTTTGGGGAGTTTTCCAGTCACCCAAGAGTTACGAGGCGCAGAATCATCGACAGTGATAACCACATCCCCAGGAATGAAGTTCCGTCCGATTCTCTGCCACTTCTGACACTCCAAAAATCACCAAAGAAGCTGGAGAAGATATCGCTGTGAGAGCTGTGGTGACCCTCTTTGAGCCTGTACTCTCCATACATGTCATACAGTTTCCCTTTTCTCCTTATCTGAGAGGACCTCATAGGCTGCCCCCAAATCTGCAAACTTGTCCAGGGCTTGCGGGTCGTCTTGGTTTCTGTCGGGGTGTAACTGCAAAGCCAGCTTTCTGTAGGCCTTCTTGATGTCCCTGATTAATGCACTCTTGTATTCATTTGCATCAACAGCATTAACTAAAACGGCCATTTTAATCTCTGGATCATTTAAAGAGATCTTTCCAAAATCAAGGTTCACTGGCCAATTAATTTCTGGTTCAGCAAGAAACTTTGGCCCTGACAACCAGGAATCATCCTTGACAAACTTCCGTTTAAGGCTGTGAGGTTCTTTTCATTTGGAAGGAAAGATAAGCGCAGACAGAGTCCGGAGAGGTGTCCAAAAAGTGATTTATTAAACACACACTTATTATACAGTGTGGGGAGCCGGTCCTCTCCTCTCTGCCCCGTTACAGAAAGCTTTATAGCCATTATGACGTCAGGAGAATTCCTGGACCTCCTCTTCTCAGCACAACAACACTCTCCCAGGCTTGAAACCAAATGTTTCCCATCATCGGTATCTGGGAACATAACCAATTGTGTAGACGAATGTGCAGTTTTGTGAGATTGTAGGTCCAAGCCAACGAAAGTTGACTGTCCTCAACTGACTTCGGCCTGCCTGGACCTGCAGGTCCGCTGGTGCTATTTGCATGATAGAGTATTATATCTAAAAGGTGTTTTATTCTGCGTGCTCTGGCAGATTTACTAAATGATAAATGATACATGATAATATTGATAATAAACTGATGATAAGTGATGCAGACTAATGAAGTACTGATGAAATAATGACAGTGCATATGAATGCTTGCTGTTCTACAGCCTTCCTATTATTTGGCATTTTTACCTGATTGCACCTAAAAGGTAAACCAATGTTGTAATGACCATCAACCAACTTAACAGAGTCCATCACTGACTTCATAAACTGCTGATCTTCTCTAGACAAAGCAAACTGCTCATCCTGAATACATTCTGGAAAATCAGCCTTTATTTGACGTTCCCACAGCTCATCCAATCTTGCCACGGAAATCCTATTGACACTCACATCAAAAATGTCAGTCTTACGATCCTCTCTGAGAGGACCAGCATAGTTTTTACTGCATAGGGACCTCCATCCTGACTTCTAACAACATCCCATGGCTCTAAAGCCTTGGGCACATTGGTCCTGATCAACAGGTCTACCCCAGAATTTATCTCCAGTATCTTAATATAGCGCAAATGTGGCCATCTATCGAGATCTTCCTGTCGGGGAATATTACATTGATGAACAGGCATGCTTTTCTGAGTAAATAAGTCAGGCAAGTCACAGTAGTGATCTAAATCCAAACCAGCTACTTCCAAATCTGAAACAACATAACTACTGACCATTTTCTCCTGACCCATTGTCCGCAAAAGAACGCCAGTTTTCCTTCCTGAAAGATTCAGCCTATTCATGAGCCCTTCAGTACAAAATGAAGCTGAACTCCCAGGATCTAGAAAAGCATAGGTTATCAGTGACTGATTACCTTTCTTGGCCTTCACTAACTGGTATTATGGACAGAGCACT